ATTTTTGAGAATTTTTTTTTGATAAAACAATTTAATGGATTTTGTTGAAACTTTTAAAGTATTTTAATCAACATTTAGAAAAGTAGATCAATTTTTTTTTTTTTTTGTAAAAAATAGCTGTGTTAGAAACTATAAAGGTATTTCGCCGCGGCCTCGGCGTCAGAGAGTCGTTTGTCGGCGTGCAGTATAGCGCCTGTTGTATTCGCTTGAAAAAAAATTTGAAAAGATTTTTTTTTTTTTTAATAAGATTACGCTATGGATGAACCACATCATACAAAAAAATGCAAAGTTGAAGAAATGGCAGGACTTTGAAAAAAAAGTTGCAATTTTGACGAAAAATTTTCATTTTAATTATGTAAAAAAAATAATTAAATTTAATAATATCACTAAAAGTACTGGTTCATTCACAGAGGAATATATTTATCTACATGCTTGCACAGGGACAAGTCGATTGATTGAATATTTATAATCTTATATAAAAAAAAAGTTTTCTTATCTTAAAAAAATATAAACATGCAGCAGTCAAAAAAATATTTTACAGCATTTATATGTGTAATTTGTAGATTACAAAAACTTTTATAAACATTTATCATTCAAGTAAAGAACTGATAAGGCTCTTCTGTTAAAAATAAAATTTAAGGCTATTAGGCTATTATTATAAGACATATGCATATGGTAAAGCGTAAGTTTTGAAAAGAATAACAAAAAGAAAGTTTATCAACTCTATTTCTCTCTTTCTCCCTTTTCAATTTCAGTCACCTCTATATGACACCGCAAACGATAATACTGCTGTAACGACCGTTCCAGAGACTTAGGTAGACCCGTATTAAACAGTCGTGAACCGTCATCGGTGGTATCAATTATTCCTAATCATTGCAACAGAAGTGCCATTGAAGATCTCATACGAAATGTTTTCCTAAAATTGGTAATCGATTGTTGAAGTAAATTGAAACCGTCTATAAAAGCACGTAAGACTAACTTAAATTTTATTCCAAAATAATGTGTTCTTCCTCTGCAGTTATTTTTTATTGTTTTTTTAACAGTTGGCGCAAATACAACGCAGCTAGTATCTAACCGATGTTAAAAGAAGAGAATTTTCTATTTAAATTGAACCGAATAATTTGTCTGTTCTAAATTTCTGAATTTGGAAGCTTTATTGAAGAATCTTAGTTAGTCATTTAAAATAACGGTTGAGTCTTGGCACATAAAAAAAATTAAGAAAGGAACAGAAAAAGTTATATACATACATGAAACACATATATTAAATATAATAATTTATCCTTCAATTTACTCGATATAGGTATATATTTTTTATACATATATCATAGAATTGAAATTTTGTTACA